CCTGGAAACCGAGTTCTGCCGCTGGTCGCGGCCCGAGTGTTAACCCCGTCGGCACCGCTCGAGAGCGACTGTTGGCAGTTCTCGTCGGCCGCTGTGGAGCCGGGCCCTCTCGGGGCCACGCCCCGACCCTGCGCCTTCTCTTTTCTTAGCTGCCGACGTCCCCACGGTCTTGCCCAGAGTTTACCCCCGACAATGCCTGGCACTACTTTACACCTTCTCCCTTCATTATCCCGGCAGGACACTCCTCCCAGTAGTGCTGCTCAATATTCAGCACCCCGACTTTTCTTCCCTTTTTTTTTTTTTTTTACTGCCCCTAATGCCCCTTAACACCTCTCTGTTATCACACCCTCAGTTCTCCCCAATGGGGTAGTTTACGATTCCTTTCTTTCTAGTCTTTGCCCTAAATTATAGAGAAACTCAGCTGTATTTATTCATACCTTAGCTCAACACCGGCCCTCTCCAGTCCTCATTCTAAACTTATTTACTACCGCTTCCTTACCGCACGGCGTTTCCAGGCGCCACTGTGAGAGACTCCCTTCTGCTTTACACAACAAACTTCCCTGCACTTCGGCTCCCGCTGCGGAGCTGTGAACTGTCGGAGAGCCACCGATGCCCAGGCACATGCTCGGCTGGCTTTGTACTCAGAAGGCAGCAGCCTTGTTTTATGAGCTTTTCTTTCTCATCGGCCTCTTAAACTGTATATAAACCGTATGGCCCAATTATGCTGACAGTCAATATATTTGTATGTGCTAACACAGATTTACTTCTTTATAAACTAGAGCGACTATTGGGCTTGGTTAAGGTGCTCCAGCAAATGTCTGTTGGTTTATAAACTGTGTTTTGTGGAACCAGGACAATGCTCGATTCTAAAATGTGGCTCCCGGGTCTTAAATGCCCACACAGAGGATAGGTTTTCAGAGATTCGTGTTAAGTACTCCCAAACCAAGAATTTTCAAATCAGAGAAAATGATCCTCTATATTTTTTTATGAATTTATGGATTCAAGATACAAGACAACCCGATTTCGTTATCAAAAAGGAAAATGGTTTATTGATTCTCTGAGGACCTGAACAAAATTTTGAATGTGTTCTGTACTCAGCATATAAAATTTATAACTTTTAATATATATATGTATATATATATTCTTTTTTCTTCTTTTTTTTTTTTTTTTTTTTTACTGATTTCAGAGAGGAAGAGGGAGGGAAAGACAGATAGAAACATCAATGATGAGGGAGAATATTGATCGGCTGCCTCCTGCACGCCCCCCACTGGGAATTGAGCCCGCAACCCGGGCATGTGCCCTTGATCAGAATTGAACCCAGGACCCTTCAGTCTGCAGGCAGACGCTCTATCCACTGAGCCAAACCGGCTAGGGCAGATTGATAACTTTTTTATAAAATATATATTTTACTAAGTTTTTATAGAGAGGAAGGGAGAGGGGGAGAGAATTAGAAACATTAATGAGAGAGAAACATCGATCAGCTGCCTCCTGCACACTCCCCACCAAAGTTGTGTCCACAACCAAGGTACATGCCCCTGACCGGAATCGAATCTGGGACCCTTGAGTCCGCAGGCCGACGCTCTGTCCACTGAGCCAAACCGGCTAGGGCAGATTGATAACTTTGACCACTTCTCTTTTGCCCAAGAAACCAGTACTAGACCAGGCACATATAGAATCACTGATAGGCATAGGACATTTTAGACCCCCCACCCACTTCTCTCCCTGAATCAGGAAATGCAGAAGTGAACATTCTCACAAGTTTGCTACCTCACCCACATTACACATGGTGTGAGGCCATAGGTTTCTTTTAAAATAACTTTTCTGAAATAATAGACTGTAATGTTAGTCATTCAGATTATTCCAGATGTGCTGTGTCATAGGTATCACAATTCTGGGCTATCCCTGGGCAAATACTCTTTTCCTAGAGTGTATCTAGGCTTATTGTCTCAATCACTTCTGCCTAAAACTTTTACCTTGAACTCTACGTGAAAGTCACTTTTGTTGTTGTGTATATGTAGCTATGTTTGTGTTTATGTCAAGGTCTTAATCCAAAACACCTTAATCCTACTGAACACAAAACAAAGTGGTAGACTACCAGGGGATTCTGGTGGGGCCAGTGGCACTGACCTAAAGAGAAGTTTAGCGGTTTTTCCTTCACTAGAACGGCTCTTATTCTCAAGTCTAAAGAGTCATGTAGAGGTCCCTGGAAGCACTTTCAAAAGAAGTTGGCCACCCGGTCCTAGATGTAGAGTTGAGCTCTAGAATTGTATTAACACAGAGCCTTTTATTTAAGGCATTCAAGCATATATTACAAGGATTTTCAGCAATATGGTTATTTTAACATTTAATAAATAGGAAAACAAACATCAGGAAGCATCTAAGAAAATGAACGTTAGTGAGGGAAAAGAAGTGTGGCATCAAATGAGTCCTGTGTTTTTTGGAGACCTGGTGACTTTATTGAGGAAATGACTCTTCTTTCTGGGCCTTAGTCCTGCTGTCGCCTCCACCCTGGGAATATGCATTGTTCCTAATGCTGGCTGGAGATTAGGCATGTTTTCCTATGCAGTAGCTTCTTGGGGGCTTTGGTTTAGGCTCAGATTTGAGGCACAAAAACAAACGGTATTATGGGCCTGAGACTGATGGTCTGGAAAAGATATACACCAATGTAGAAAGTCCTGGGGATAGCTGTGAATATTTTAAGGACAGGTTGAGATTTTTGTATATGATTCAACAACTTGCAACCAGAATAAAATTCTTCTCTGAATGAGCTACAGACTTCTGTTTAGAAGCAGAAAGGACAGCCCTGTGTAGGAAGCAATCCAAAATTTTACCAAGAATTTCAAAGAAGCTAGATTTTCAGATAGGGTGTTTTTCACCTGGTAGAGGCCTGGGAAAATTGAGAGGCTAACCCAGCCGTGGGCAAACTACGGCCAGCGGGCCAGATCCGGCCCATTTGAAATGAATAAAACTAAAAAAAAAAAGACCGTACCTTTTTATGTAATGATGTTTACTTTGAATTTATATTCGTTCACACAAACACTCCATCCATGCTTTTGTTCCAGCCCTCCGGTCCAGTTTAAGAACCCATTGTGGCCCTCCAGTCAAAAAGTTTGCCCACCCCTGGCGCTAACCCAAATATCATGATTCCTCATTCAGAGAGGGACAATCTGGCAGAAAAGCTCAAAAGAGATCTGTAACTTTTTAAACTCCTCACTCAAAAATATATATAGTTGACCTTTGAATATCTCGGGTTTGAACTGCGTGACTTCTCATATATTCGGATTTTTTTTTTCAATAAATATACAGTTGGCCTTCGGAATCCCTGGGTTTTGCATCAGAGTATTCAACCAACCACAGATCAAAAACAGTATTTTCAGTCTGCAGTTGGGAATACATGATGTCAACTGTGTGCATTGTTCTATTCCAGTGGTCGGCAAACCGTGGTTCGCGAGCCACATGCGGCTCTTTGGCCCCTTGAGTGTGGCTCTTCCACAAAATACCACGTGCAGGCGTGCTCGTACAGTGCGATTGAAACTTCGTGGCCCATGCGCAGAAGTCGGTTTTTGGCCTAGGCGAGTCTATTTTGAAGAAGTGGCGTTAGAAGAAGTGGGGGGTGTCGGTCGGGCAACGGGAGACCGGTGCAGGCGGGCCGAGGGATA